ATTTTGTGGCTTCCTTAGATTCTTACTATTAATGTGAAAATATTTTAATCTATTCTTGAAGATTTACTAAGACACAACTTCTTACAGCCTGGCTAATGAAGGTGAAGCATCTTTCTTCAAGGCTGAATCTAACTTTAAAAACTAAGCATTTGGGGCTGGAGAGATTGCTCAATGGTTAAGAGCTCTTCCAGAGGATCTGGGTTTGGTTCCTAGCACCCACATGGCAGCTAACAACCATCTGCAACTCCAGTTCCAGGGGATCCAACATCCTCTTCTGGCCTTCCATGGGCATTGCATAACAAAGGTGCAGTTACATACATGTAGGTAAAGCACTTGTACATATAAAATAAAAATAAATAAGTCAAAAAATTTAAACTAGGCGATTGTCTTTTTTGAAAGCTAAATTATTTTAAGTACATTGGAAAGGTGACTAATTAAAGGAACTAATATTAATTGTCTTGTAAAGTGAATACTAACTCGTTTTCTTTCCTTTGGCAGCATTGGGGGCTCAAATCCAGGGCCTTGTGCATGCCAGACAAGTGCTTTACAACTAGGCTACATCTCTAGCCTTACTAACTAACTCAGTTGTGAAAAAACGATTAATTCTGATTTTCACATATTTAGATTTGCCTAGACTGGGAGTACATGTGCAATAATAATATAATCATATAAAAATGGTAATAAGTGAAAGTGATCCAGAAAGGTGGCACCCCATATGGAGAAGAGAGAATTGGTGTCAGGTCTTGTTTTACTTGGTGCATCCTGTAATCGCGGGGGAGGAGTCAGTGGTTTGCTAATGAGATTTGCAGATGGCTTTAAATTGAGAGGTATTGTAAACAGCAGGAATGACTGAGGAATGATACAAGAGGATCTGGAAAGGTTAGGAACATGGACAGGAAATCAAATGATTCAGCCTTGAGTAATGCAAGCCAGTCTGACATCTGGGGCGAAACGAGAAGAAATACAGATACGCCTCAGAAGAGACAGACATGGAAAATAGTCGTCTCGGTGGAGATTGGAGGGTGCTAGGGAAAACAAGAGGTCGGAAGCAGGAATAGTTGTTCAATCCTCACTATTTGTCTAGCACTTTCCTTGTTGATTACTTTTTCAACAAGTTTAAACAACTCAGTGCTGTACAACAAATAGCGATTTTTTGAGGATTAATTATGCACAGGAGCTCATTACTTGGTGAAATAAAAGGCTGGCCTCCTTCTAGTTGATCCTAATGGTGCAGAGGCTTATCAGTATAGGGAGTGTGTGCAGAAGTACTTGGCCTGGAATCTCCAAAACAGCTCCAGTAGGAGAGGTCACTGACCACATACCTGCTGGAGTGTTTCTCATCTGGGGATGCTTCTGCGACTGTTGGAGCAGCTTATACCACTCTATCAGGTGTCAGCAGCATGGTGGCCTGGGAGGCCAGCTTGGGCACAGATAAGTCTGGGGACTCATGATGGCTCTCCCACGCAGTGATCTGTTCCTCTTGGTGGTGCCTTTCATCCAGTGCCCTTGTGTTAGCAGCTAGGAACAGCTCCCACTGAAGCCTTTTGCTTGGGTTTCCTACCCCCTTATCCTCCCTCTTACCATATGGGTCTTGTGTCTGTGCTGCTTCTAGATATCAATGAACTCAGTCACATTTATTGATGACACTGGCTAACTTTTTTGTTGTTGTTGTTTAACATGGGACCACTACGTCTCATTTTTTTCCATTATGAGGAATTGGGTCATAGTGAGGACTGTATGGGGATGAGAAGGAAGAGGACAAATTCTAGGGCATACACACCCTGAGCAGGCACTACTGGCTGCATCCATTCCCCATCCCAAGGAGACTAGAGCACTAAAATGAAGAACATGTGGAAGGAGCAAGTTGGGAAGCAGATGGCTCACTTGTGATGCTTGTTCTAGCTCGTGAGATGTGTCAGTACTGGTACCTCAGATCAGGAGTCTGAAGCTCAGTGCGTCTCTTGTTCTCTGTCTGTTTGCTTTTTAACATCTGTTCTCAGTCATATTTGTCTTCCTGTGGTTTTATCCATTCCACATCCAAGTGGAGATACTAAGTCCTTGTGTATAGAGAGTTTTGTTGTGGTTGAAGACAAAAAGAACTCATCTGCTCATTTAACAAGTGTTTTCTCAATGCCTCCAGGGCCCCAGGTCCTATTTTTGGTGCTCAGGATACATCAGTGAACATGAAAAGGATCTCTGGCCTTGTGGGACTTACATTCCAGCAGGGGGAGACAATTAATAATGAACCTAATAAATACACACATGGCATAACATAGAAAATGATGAGTGTTGGGAAAAGAAACAAAGCAGAATGAGGGGGCTGGAAGGCTGGGGTTTGGGGCACTTTACAGTGTTAAACACAGCAAGCTAATCTTCAGTTTGAAGGAGGCATTTGAACAAAGACTTGAAGGAAGGGGTGGGGCTGGCCTTCCAGGTAGCTAACCATGACAATTCTTGGAGTAAAGAGGGTACAAACAGAGGTTGTTTGGCCTATCTAAGCAACAGTGAGGAGTCTGGGGGCTTTTAGATCAGAGTGAGCAAAGAGGGGAATAAAGTGGATAAGGTCAGTGAGCCAAGGAGTGAGAGCAGGAGTGTGCCGGCTTTGTCCAGCTTTGGCTTTGACCCTGACCACTGAAATGCTTTTGAAAAGAGAGGTGTTACTGCTGATTGTGTGTGTGTGTGTGTGTGTGTGTGTACATGTGCGTATGTGTGTGGGGTTACACATGCACATGTGTGTACATGTGAGTAGAGGCCAGGTGTCTTCCTCAATCACTCTCCACCTTGTTTATTTATTTTTAAATATTTTATTATTTAAATGTATGAGTGTATTGCCTGCATGTGTGTGAGTGCACCCATGTCATGCAATGCCCATGGAGGTCAGAAGAGGGCATTGGATTCCCCTGGAGTTGGGAGTTACAGACAGTTGCAGACTGCTTGTGTGGGTTCTGGGAATTGAACCCAGGTCCTCTGCAAGAGCAACCAGTTCTCCCAACTGATGAGCCATCTCTCCACCCCCCTCCACTTTGTTTTTTGAAACAATATTTCTCACTGAACCTGGAGCAGCTGGACTGGCTGGTCATCAAGCTCTGGGGCTCCTCTTGCCTCTGCCACACTATTTCCGAGATTACAGATGTATGTATGCCCCACTGTTTATGTGGGTGCTGGGGATCTGAACTTGAGTCCTCATGCCTGCAGAACACGCGCTTTTCTGACTGAACTGTCTCCTTTTCCTCCCCCAGCTGATTGCTTTTTTAAAGACTTATTTGAGCTGATAGACAAGAGAGTATGCAGAAAGGGACATTGGGAGTTTATCAGAGAAATATAAGCCAAGCATTAGCTGAAGCAGCATTAGCTGAGGCTATGTCATGAAGAGATTTGATTGTGGGTCTATTTTGACAGCACCATGGAGATTTCCTGGCCAATTAGATGTGGGTTGTAAGAAAAAGAGAAGAAAGATTTCTCTCCATGATTTTTGGCATGAGCATTGGATGGATCAAGTTGCCACTGACTGAGACAGGGTAGCAGATGTTGAGTGAGCATTGTATCTAGAGGAACAAACTGAAGATCCAACAGGGCAAAGATGTCATTCAATACCAGGAGACTGGATGAAATTATCAAGGGTTTAAATTACAGAGAAAAGAAGCCCATGTAGCAAGCCCTGGGTACTCTAATCACCGAGAGATCATGTAGAGAACCAAAGAAGGCTAAGATACCTGAGGGAGGAGGAAAACCAAAAGAATGTGTTGTCCTTGATGCCTAGTTTGTTTCTTCATTGCTGTGACAAAATACTCTGATCAATACCAACTTGCGGGGGAAAGGGTTTATTTGGCTTATATCTCCCAGGGCACAGTTCATCAGGGAGCCCAAGGTAGGAACTCAGGGCAGGAACCTGGAGGCAGGATCTGGAGCACAGGCCATGGAGGAATGCTGCATACTGGTTGCTCTCCTGGACCCTGCTCAGCCTGCTTTCTTATGCAACACAGGCCCACCTGCCCAGGGGTGGCACCACCCACAGTGGCCTGGGCCCTCCCACATCACTCATCAAGAAGATGCCCCTCAGACATGGCCACAGGCCAGTCCAATAGAGGCAATTCCCGGATTGAGGCTCCCTCAACCCAGGTGTATCAAGTTGACACTAAAGCTATCCAGCACATCAAGGGTTTAAATTACAGAGGAAAGAAGCCCATGTCATGAGTACTCTAATCACTGAGAGATCACATAGAGAACCAAAGAAGGCTAAGATACCTGAGGGGGGAGGAAAACCAAAAGAATGTGTTGTCCTTGATGCCAAATTCAGATTGTGCAAAGAAAGAGAGAGTAATTGGCCACATTGAATGCACTTGATGGATCCCATAGGATGAGGACTGAGGCTTGGCCATGTGACTCAACAAAATGAAGGGCATCAGTGACCTTGGTGAGTGGTTTTGATGTCAAAATATAATAAGGCTGTTGGGAATAGTTTCAAAAGAGACCAGGAAGAGAAGAGTTGAGAAGAAACTCAAGAAGAATATACTCATCATGAGCAACGTAACAGGTCCAAAAGGTCTCTAGAGTCTAGCATGCCTTCCCCTGCTCCAGCTCCCATCCAGGAGGCAATCACCTATTTATTTATGCATATTTGTGTGTCATCATTTATTTATGATTAGAGAGAAAGAGTACAAAGCAACATTGAGCTAGGACACTAGGAGATCTTCATTAACAGATCTTCAATGGGATTTAAAATCCCAAAAGGGATTTTTAAAATATTTATCACAAAACTATTGCTATTTGAAATACGGCGTTTTCTCATAACGGTGAGTGGAATTATTTTATTTGTAAGCAAGGCCTGGTATATTAATACTTTTACTTAGGTCACTTGATTCAGAGACCAAGTCATCCATTGGGGTGTATTTTCTTCTGGAGTATTTTAGCTTTTAGAATTTAGGCAATAGCTATATATTTTCTTATGGAGCATTTTAGCTTCTAGAATTTAGGTAATAAAATTCCTTTTCTCTCTCCAGGCCTGGGGCTCAGAGAACTCAGCCCAGATGAAATAAGTTTGCTTCTTTATTGTCCCTTTGAGCTATTCAACGACTGTGTTTCCATCAGACAGTAAGAACACATTTGAAAATTAAAGGGTCATCATTACAGAATGTGTTGAGAGTGCTCTGTGAAGTGTAAAGATGTGCTGGGGAAAATGTAACGTGTTAATGACAAACAAACCATAGCCTTGATGCTATCCCCTCTCTTGCTGTTTCAAGTCACAGTCACCTGTCTCCTAGAATCATCACTGTGATGAGTCCTTGCTTGAATGGGAATGCTTCGCCTCCCTCGTGGCCTGGCTTGCCTTTGCCACTCTGGGTCCCTGCAGCAGAGGTGCCATTAAGCTTCTATAGGAGATTCCTCCCAATCCACTCTCCACTCTCCACTCTCCACTCTCCAAAATGCAAAGTGATCACTCCTCACCCTTGCTTAGTGCCCTTAAGGGCTCCTCATCACAGCTTTAGAGACTTTCATTCTCTGGGTCTAGCCTAACGGTGCCTCACCCATTGTCTTTACTATGGAAGATACAGCCACAAGCCACCTTGATCTGAGCACATTCTAGACTCTCTTTCAAGTCTTTGGATGAAGAGGCTCCAGTGAGTATTCAGAGAAGCCACAAAATCAGTTTAACAAGATGAAGTAGACCATTTGATTTTTAAGCTCCATAAAACTAGAAACAGAAGGGCCCTCCTTGGTTCCAGTATTCCTTATGTTCACATTATACCAGATGTTTCTGTTTGCCTTCATCTAGTATGTGTACATGAGAGCACTTCACATAATCCAGTGGCTGGCCCCTCTACTTGGCTTTGAGAACCCTTATGGCCAATTCTTGGCCCTGTTTTAACACCTTACTTGTTTTGCATGCTTTCCCTGACTTTCTTCTCTATTCTGTGTTTAAATGCCTCCAGTATTTTGAAGTCTCAAAGACTGACATTTCTGGCCTAGGTATCTCTTCTGAGATTTGATTCCTATCCAAAGACATATTGATGCTCAAGAGGTCTGTAGCAGTTAAGGTCTCTGGGCTAAACTCTGATCTTCACTGCCCAAATCTTTTCCCTTCCCTCCTCAGTAAGTGTCAATCTCTTTGTGGTATAGCTCTTCTATGGCTGTCTAGATGACTGACAAGTGAGTCCCAGGATCCTCCTGTCTGTGTTTTCAGTGCTAGTATTCCAAGTACATGTGGCTGCACCTGGCTTTTTATGTGAGTGCTGGGGATTCAAACTCAGGTTCTCAAATTATATTGTTCACCTCAGAGATCTAGAATGTTACCTCTCTGTTTCAGTTTGTAAGAAAACCTACATGCAAAGCCAGGCATGGTGGCACATGCCTGTAATCCCAGCACTTGGGAGATGGAGGCAGGAGGACCAAGATGTCAAAGTCATCTTCAGCTACATAGAAAGTTTGAGGCCAGCATGAGCTATACGAGACAGGGTCTCAACCACTCCCTGCTCCAGCAATCAAAAAACCAAAACCTATGTACGGTTAATGATGGGAATATTTTATAGATAATAACCTGTTTAATGTTCACAGCAAATCATTGAGGTAACTGCTACCATTATAACCCACGCTATGGAAGTAGGAACTAAACCACAGTAAGGTGCCCAAGGTCACATAGCTTACTAATGGAACTGGGATCTAAACTCAATCTGACTTTGGCATTCATGTGTTTAATCTGCACCCCATGATCCCTATCACCTCCCCTGATTTACCCTTACATATAACCTATTAGAAGTGTAATCAGTTCTATCTCTGAAAATAGCCCAAACCTACTGACTATCATACTTTCACAGAGAACTCCCATTTTACTAAGTTCGTTTCCCCTGTTCTTCACTCCTGCTCATCCCAGAAAAGCCAGGGTTTAGCTTTAATGTGATTCTTTTTTCTGGAATGTGTTCCTTGACTCCCACATCTGAATTACATCCCCCCCCCCAGTTACTTTTTTTCATTGCATTAGCTTTCCCATCCATATTAAATTTTATAATTTGAACGGTTCATTTGGGTCTCATAGTTTAAAGTGAGCACCATGAAAGGAAGGATCTTGATTTAGTTTTCTCTGTCACAGCACTGTGCATGTACTGGAAGCTTCTTAACACTGGAGAATGGATGGATGGATGAGTGACTAGTAATGAGCAAGAAATGACTTTATAATTTTTATTTTATGTGCTAAAAGGAAAGTAGAGATATGCCTCTTTAGGAGGCCTAGTTGCAGTTGTATGAATTAGTAAATATTATGAAATTCATGAATTTTAAAAAGCAGAATTTATTTTTATCATTTCAAGGAAGGACATCGTGAAATTCTTGTAAGCGTATTCACCCTCAATTTTATGCCCTGGTCAACCCATTAAACTAGACATGGCAATTGACCCCATATAGGACAAATTAGTTTCTCTCTGTTCAGAATTAAGAATCAGGAACAGAAAAATAGATCTATAAAGTAATCACATTCATCCATCCTTCAACTATTTTTTCAGCATCCAGAATGAAGTAATCACTGGGGACATAATGAACTCAACATCTCTCCTGTAAGGCATTTACAGTTCTCCAGAGAAATCCAGTGAGTGGAGCTGCTATTGCAATTCAGCATGCCAAATGCTATGATGAGGGAGAACCAAGCACCAGGGGACCTCATAAAAGGGACCTCCTATGCAAAGGGGGAAGGCAGAGAAAGCTGCACAGGAGAGGTGATTTCAAACTGGGAGAAAGCTTGGTAGAGCCAGGAGGGAATACAGGAGAGGCAGAGGGTATTCTGTGTAGAATAGAGAATGCAAGTGTGTTCAGTCTGGGTACCAGGGTGGTGGTATGATCCTGGGAGCGGGGTCAAATCCCCATTGTGAAGGCCTTGTCAGCCTGTACCGAGTTGGAAATTTCTCTTACAACTGAGAAACATCTAGACAAGATTTTTTTTAAGCAGAGGAGTGACATATTCCTACTAATAGTCTGAAGATCCCTGGGGTTTCAGTGGAGAGAATGCATTAAAGAGCTATACCAATGCAGAGATTGTGGTAGAAGTCTGGACAAGACATGATGGTGGAAGGAATACGTTGGTGGTAGTGGGAAGGGCTAGGAGAAGACTGATGTGGATTTTAGGATACAGTTGGGGAAGGAGTAGGGAGAAGGATGATGCCAAGTCTTCAGGCTTAGACTAGCTGTGGAGAAAGGGTCACACGTGGCAGTATAAATACAAAAGAGCAGGACTGGAGAGATGGCTCAGCAGTTAAGAGCACTGACTGCTCTTGCAGAGGACCCGGGTTTGATTCTCGGCACCCACATGGCGGCTGCAAGCCGTCCTTAACTCCAGTTCCAGGGGAATCCAAAGCCCTCTTCTGACCTCTGCGGTATTGCACAACACAGGTGTACTCACATACATGCAGGCAATACACTCATACACATAAAATAAAAATAATAAATAAAATATTTTAAATATAAAAGAGCTCAGGAAAGAGACTGGGAGCTGTGCCTGTAAGCAGTATCTGCGCAGGATTAACTCAAGTGTTTGGGGTATACAGTCCCCAGAGAGCTTGTGTGCAGTGAGGAAAAAAAAAATTGGTGTATGGATGGAACCCCAAACAACTTCACTATAGAAGTAGCTGAATAAGGAAGAAGCACCTGCCAAAGAATTGAATAAGAAGCATCCAGAAAACAGTTGGAAACCCAAGAAAGAGTGCTGTCATGGAAACCAATGGGTGAAACCCTTTCCAGAGGATGTAAGGAATGTCAGCGCTCTAAGAAAAAACCAAAGCAATGCTGGGGGATATCTATTAATGAAGTAAGCATTAACTGTTCTTAATGATCTTTTTTTACCTCAATTTTTAAATTTATTTTTATTTTATATGTATGAGTGTTTTGCCACCACATATATAAGCGTACCCATGCATGCAGTGCCTGCAGAGGCCAGAAGAGGGTGTTGGCTCCCCCGGAACTGGAGTTATGAGTGGTTATTAGCTGTCATGGGTGCTGGGAACCAAACTCGGACCTCTGCAAGAGCAGCTAGTGCTCTTAACCATGGAGCCATCTCTCCAGCCCCTGTTCTTAATGATCTTATTTATAGCATACATTTGCTTGTTTCAAACTGTAAGGTAACTTAGTCTGATGCTTGCTTTATGGCTTCCTTAAGAAAAGTAGATCCACAAGGGTTTCTGAATTTGGTTTTCAAATGTTATTACATGTCTCTCTGCGAAGTACTCTTGAATGTCAGAGTTGAGAATGTGGAAAAAAGTAGACATAAGGAAAATTTATTTTAAAAGTGCTTTTTCAACTTGAAGGAGACATCTAACAACCCACTAAGTTTAGCATTTCTTGTGTGTTTATGACCTGTCAAAAACTGCCAGAAAGCTACTTATGAGCAAGAAGAAAACGATGCTGCCTGTTGGTCATCTCTCAGAACTTCCAACTGCTGAAGGCCACTCTGCAATCAAAAATAACTTTCCTTCACCAACTGACATATGTCAAGAAGGGAAACATGAGTAAGAGGATCCAGGCCACGGCATGTTCATTAAACAATTACATACTGAAGCCAATGGGTAATCACTTTTTTCCATTTTATTTCCAACAGTTTGAGTGTTCCTAAGAGGCCTGTGTAGAATTGGATCTGGTACTTTAATCAGAATTTGAGTGTATTTTCAGTAATGGTAACATCTCTGCCTCTCCTACTTACTCTGTGTAACAGACTCCCCTGGGTCTGACTTGTGTTCCTCCTTCTGAGTGTTTAGTCAATTTAATATACACAGTGGACATATTCTGGAAAAAAATATGAGGCTTCTCAACAGAGTCATTTCCAAGATTAGGTCTTGTTTAAAACAAAGGCAGACAATTCATCAGAATACCAAGGCAGGACATACAATGCTCCACAGTGTTTAATTAGAGCTTTTCTTAAGGACTCATTTGCTCAGCCTCTCAAGTACCATAAACTTTTCTGAAGATGATTTTGCCTCATCCCTCTGAAGTCAAAGGCTCCGGAAAAACTGAACAGTGTTTACTGCATGCTTTCCATTTAAAACTGTTTTGTTGAGTAGTTATTAAAATGGGAAAAAAAAGCACAGTATGAAGGCATTTGTGGTCAAACTGCTTATTTTTGGGTTCAGTATAAAAGAACCCAAGTCTAGTCGAGTATGACCAGCTCCCCTTTTCTCCTTACTAGAGTTAGCCCACAGGATGTAGAGACAGGTGATGGAGTCAATGCATTCCTGTCCACAAACACAAAGTTTAAGAATCACTTTCTTCACTTTTCTGTAACAAATTAATTTCTACTGCCAAGCTCATACTTCTGGCTGGCAGAAGAAACAAAGGAAATGAAAACGTGTCACTTTGCTGTCCCCTGGGTCCTCACAGAGGTTGTTGGTGCCAGGTTTCAGGAGCTCAGGGCCTCTGCAGGGAGCCCACCTGATCCCTGGTCACTGTTCCTCTGCCCACACCATCTATCTTTGTGGCAGCCTTGCCCCACCCCCTTAGGCCCAGCCACCACCAAGTCTCTCTACCAAGGCCTCCTGTATCAAGCCTGTGTCACTCTCCCTGGAGGCAGGATTGGCTGTCTGCTTCTGGAACACACAAATCCATCTCCTTGTCATCTCCCTTCCCCTCCTCCCAGACAAACAAGATCTCACTGGAGTTTGGGGAAATTGCTTCTCTTTTGAACACACACACACACACACACACACACACACACACACACACACACTCACACACATACACACACAAACACACAAATAAACACACGGACAAATTAAGTCCTCTTCTGTGAAGAATTTAGGCCTTTGTTTCCAAAGATGGAAGTCTTAGCTTTGTGCCTTGTCCACAGTCCACATATTTCCTGAGAGGTAAGAACTGTACAGCTATGATCTGTTTGTGGAGGTGGGGCGGGGGTGGGAGGAGTGCAGGACAGAGAGGAAAAATAGGGTTAAGATGATGAAAATGACAATGGATAGTTAGCTGAGCACATTATCTGGCCAGCATAGTGCACACCACTCCTCCCTGGGATTCCCCAAGCCTGCTAGGAAATACCACTTCACCTCCTCTAGCCACATATCCTGATTTCTGTGGGTCCAAGCACTTGCGGGTTACCAGACAGACAGACATGGACATCAAATTACAGGGAAGGACTGGAACCCTGGGAGAAAAAAAAATATCCCCTTAACTGAGAAAGAAACCCACCCTGGTCTCATTGACTCAACCGTAAGACCAAAAGAGAATCACGTGTTTCCACACTCTAGAGCCTATATGTGCTAGATGGGAAGACAGGACCACCAGGAGTCACCCTGAGGAGGGGGCCGAGAAGCTGCCTACTGTTCTGCACCCACTCCTACCATAGACATGATAAATGAAACACAGAAGAGCATGGCACAGAAGGTTGTGTCCTTGCCTCTCCAGGTAGAGAGAGACCTGGGTTAGCAGGGACATCAGAGGCCAAAGGTAAGCATCTGAAAGAAGGAGGGGCGAGGGCGTCTGTTGGAAGCCACAGGTGGTTTAATGCCACACGGAAGCTTTGGCTGACCTGCAGAAGCTAGGTGCCACATCACATGGCGCAGCAGAGCCAGTTAGTTACAAGCAGTGCAGGCAGCAGCCTGAGCTGTGCTTGCTGCAGCTTCCTGTTGCCCTGCTTCCCAGAGACACCAAAGTGGTTCTGCCACCCACCAAGCAGGAGGGGAATGGGGACATCCACGTCCTGCCCCTACATCAGTCTTTTAATTCATGCACCATAGCAGAGTAAGACCAATCTTTGGCCCAGGTGGCCCTAGATTTAAGTTCTTGTTCTTTTTTTTTCCTAGCCACAAAGTTCATGAATGATGTGGCTTTTGCTAAGGCTCTTTTCTTTCATCTATAAATGAGCATAATAGTTTTTTAAGTACCTAGTACATTTCTTGCCACATAATAAGGATCAAGTGAATGAGAGTTGCTGTTATGATTATAATAATCTGATTCCTTGATTTCCCCAGGAAAACTCCAGGGCAGGAATCTAGGGCTAGACAACTCTGGATTCTTGTTTTAGGAGCCTACACTCCAGCAGATGAGAAGGTACAGGTACAGTCAGATGTCCAGTAGGTGACTTCTATAAGGCCTTGGACAAATGGTCACTCTGTTTACTCATCAAAGTCACATACTTGGGTCATTTCCCTGGGGATATTGGGACTGAGTCTGCAGAAGTGATGGCATTTGCTGAACTTGAGCTGCGAACAGCTGCACTGGGCTAGAAATAACTTTTCAAACGATGAATTCCTTTGCCAAAGCAGAGGCGCAGCTCGCAGTGGGTTTGGAACCACAGAAACATCTAATAGAAAGGTCTCCTTTCAGGGTGACACCCTGCAATCTTTCACCTTCCAAACAGGGAGATGGCCAATTTTCAGAGCAGATTCTTTGAACTGTTTTGGAACAAAGACACAAGGAAAAGTTCAAGGGGAAGAGAAGCTTCATTAATTTATTAAGGTGAGATAGGTTCATCAAATCAAAATCCCAATGGGAACAGTAAACTTTGGAACTTTCAGGCTCTGGCTTCTGCCTCCTCTGTTGCCCATTGTCAAGAGCATTCGTGAATGTAATAGCCAAATCTGTGTCCCCAAAACACAGGAAAACTAAAGAAAGTAATGCATTTTGGTAGAAAGTCACAAAAATAAAGACATCCTAATAAAATGGCTGGACTATTCTTACTGCTTTTTGACCAGCAAAGAGAGCTATGGAAAGATCCTGTCACCATCTGTGACCTGAAAAAAAAAGTCATAGCTCATAGAATGCTGCCAATGGAAGACTCTTAAAACATAGCACCTCACCTGCCCTGTACCCAGGGCTTAAAGCTAATACATAGCAGATTCAGAATTGGAATACAGGACCTAAACCTTCAAATGGAACTTTTCTATCATCCAGGCAGCTAGTCCAGATGCATCAAGAGCATACACTTCCAGAACATACTCTAAGCTTATTAGGGAAAAGGTGCCAGTTAAATGCCTTTTTATGTTTTTACTTAGTGATTAGGATGAGAATCACACTGCATGTTGAATCCAAGGGAGCAGGAAGCCAATGGGAATATAGTCTACCTCTCACTTTCGATTGGATGGTTCTCTAAAGTTCATGTCCCATCATTTGTTATAGTTTATATAGAAGGAACAGTTGTTAAGTTCCAAGTCCAGATTAGAGTTTATTTAACAAATGTAGTACCAGACTATTTCTGACATGGTTCCAGCTGCAACAAGTGGCCATTTTAAATTCGGTTCATTTAGAGAAGAGCAAATTCCAGCTCAGAAGGCAGCAACAATCCCTCTTCTTCAGGTGATCAGTTTATCTTATGGTTGCCTAGATTCCAGAGCTTTATGGTCAGTGGAGTAAACAGGAACTACCCCCCTAGATTTTGAAACCTTACTGACACCTTGCCCTGCTGGCTCTCAAATTCAGCCCTCTGACTGTGCTGATCACTGGTGTGGTTTAATATGAAACACAAAGTTTAAATCTAACATCAAAAATTCTATGCTAAGCAAAATGTATTCAAATCGTGAGATTTAGGCTTTTTAGTAGTTTGGATCACCCTTACCTTGAGTTCAGAAAGCTTTTGTTGTTTTGATTTTTCCTAAGTGATATAGATATCACTTAGCTATGGATATAACTTTAGGGCCAAACTTATGCTCCGACATAGGTGGGCATGCCCCTGGAGCCAGGAGATGACTATGTGGCATCACTCTAAATGAAGTAGTTTGCATGAGGGATTTCTGTGATGGCCCCTGGGTAGATTTGAGAACTGAAGAAGAAATAGAACAGAGACAGCTATGTGATATCTTGACCCTGTGATGGCCACCATTTCTTAATGAGAAAAAGGTTGCAGACAGAGACTGGAGGAGTTTTTTTTTTCACAAAAGGCTTGGCATGGCATGGAGCCCAGATGGCACTACTTTAGTACAAGTGGCAAAATAAGAAACAAAGTTAGGGAACAGGCTAATTGCTGGTCATTCCTGGGAAGAGTGAAGGCGAAGTGTGTGTGGGTATGGATTGTCCTCACAGTCAGCAGGGAACCACAGATGCTCAGTGGTCCTGGAGGGGTGTATGACTGTGTTTACCCCCTAGGAAAGTGGACCAATGCTGGGTCTGGGAGCTGATGTTGCCTAGCATGGGATGAAGGGTTCCCAGTAGACATGGCAGTCACACCAGTAGTGGAAATGGAGTGGAGTTATTGGGAGCATGAGTACGTGGTCTGTGGGGTCTGTGGAAAATGGCAGTGCTACTTGTGGAACACTCATTTGGAGCAAGTCAGGGATGGATAAGGGTAATGCAAGTTAGTCCTGCCTGGCACACAGATACCCTTTGACTCTGCATTCTGATAAGATCTCAGGCACAACTTGGGTCACATGAGCTTTAGGGAAAATGGTTTCTGAGGAAGACAATTGTTGAACAATAGTTGCCAGAGCTACAACCTCTCCTCCTGTCACCTATTTTAGAGAATTTAATTGGTGTCTTACCAGACTTGTGGTGGGGCATTTTTTGATGAGTGGCTAGTTAAGGAACTAACTGAGAATACAGAGCATTGAGGTCCTGGGCTAGTTGCAAGTCTCCCCGAGGCCTTTGCTAGAGTGTCAGCAGACTGTGGGAGATTTGTTCCTTGTTTGGTTTTCAGTAAGGGATAGATGAGGATGAGAAGTTGATCCCACAGTGGTGGTTTCTGGATTGAAATATGGTTTGGAGTTCCTTAGAATAAGAGTTGCCAGTGTTCAAATCTTACGTGTAGAAGTCAGATGTGGCCTGTGGTAATGGGCTGTCACCTGGCTAAGAACTGTTTGACACATGCAGTACTGAAGGCTTCAAATGCTGGAAAGTGTAGAACAGACTTGCGTGGTCTTAACTGGTGAGTTAGGCCTGTCATCTAAGCTCCTACTACGTGGGGTCATTCTAGAACCTACATAGTCAGACCCTTTCATTCACCAAAGTACACTGCCCAGGCTTCCTCCATTAGTTTGTTACAGGTAGAAATTCAGTTCCTC